AAATTGAGCTTATGAAGTACACAGTAGGGAAGTTAGTGAAGAGAACATTCTTTGTTCTCTGGGGCCCTTACAAAGTTGAGTCTGTGGCCCCGTGTCTGCCATCCTTGGTCTCCCTCCTCATCCTTCTTTTCCTCCCTGTCCCTGCCCTCTCTTTCCTCTGTTCTTGGCATAATGTCAGCCCTGGTTTGATCTATAGCTTTCCAAGCACAACACTGTAAGAATGAGCACCAGTGTTGGCAGGTGAATTTAAAGTGTAGCTCCACCCCTTTGGGCAGTCAGTTAACATTTTCGTGGTTCAGATCCTCATATGTAAAAGAAAAGGAATGATGACACATTATATGCCTGTGATGATTAAATTCAATATTATTTGCACACAAGACCTGACACACAGGAAGTATTTAGTAAGTGGTAACTGGCAGCATTTATAATTGGTGACAGTTAATTTTTCTAGGCTGAGATCTACAATTAGTTTCCAGGTGTTCATTTCCAAAGATGCAAGTATATTTTAATATATAAAAAGTTTTAAATTCTAGGTTAATGGTCACATTTAATGACCTTTTTCCCTCAGGTCTTGAAAATCAGAAGTTTTCTAATTATACTTTTTTTGCCAGGTGTGGTGGCGCATACCTATAATCCAGCACTCAGAAGGCTGAGGCTGGAGATGTGCTGTGAGTTCGAGGCTGGGCTACATAAGCAAGTTCAAGGCCAGCTTGCACTACATAGTGAGACCCTGTCTCAAAAAATAATAGTAATTATATGTTTTTCCGTATTCATAGTGCAGTAAAGGAATTGTTAAAAATGAAATGAAAACTATGGTCTTAAATCCGTTCTGTATTTGTGAGACACAATATATGAGATATGCAAACATTTAAACATACTTGGGCTCAGCTGGGAAAATCTTTTGAAATAAGATTATATGAAAGATTCTAAAACTATACTACAGAGCTGAGTGGTGAGGTGACATTAACCTCAGACCCCACTAATATGGCTTCATAGATCACAACATCTGCTCAGATTTAGAGCATATCAGTTGAAATCCTGGCACCCTTTTCTAATCAGTTTGTCACCTCAAAAGAAAACTCTACCTTCCCAAGTGTAGCTCAAGGCATCCAAACAGTTCTCCATGGTACTCTCAGGCCTCTGGTATGCAATGGATGAAATTTTAGTAAAACAATGAGGTGTTCCATGCAGTGTACTTTCTTATTACCGTCCCCCACCCCACAGCTGTAAGATCACCAGTTGCTGCCAAAGGGAACGCAGTCAGCCCTCTGCAGCTGCAAGCAGAAGAGAGCTGAAGGTCTCCTTGTCATGTAATTCCTGGGATCGCAGCACACTGGAATCAAAGTACAGTTTTTCTGGCCACAAAACTCCTAGCCTTGTAAACATGTCAGGAGCACATGAGCTATGATTTATTTTGTCCTTACTGGGGAAGAAGTGTGTGTGGGAGAAGCAGCGGTGGTGGACTGCATCCTGATGTCACCCTCATACGTTGTGACCCTCACAGTGACTACAGGGGTAGGTGCCACCCTTGTCCTACTGGGAACTAAGGGTGGGTGAGAGTCAGCAGCTGGGTCAGTGCTGTGACGGGTCACATTCAGGGGGTCCCTTGCCAAGCCAGGCTCTTCATTATTGCCCCAGTTGCTTCAGCAAAAGGAACAGGTGAGGAAAACTTGAACTGCTGAAGGCTAACTGGGACAGATACTGGAAGAAGGAGAAAATTGAGGAAGCTGGTACTTCTTTAAAAGGCATGTCAGGCTACAAATTTATGACCCCTTCTTACTTTCTACTCCTAAAGAAAGGGAATGACCCTAAAATCTCAGATGGCTTAAGAAATAGATCAACCTTTATGTCCTTTAACTTCCTTAATTCACCATCATTGGCTAACAAGAATTCTAGCCCATAGAATCAGATGTCACTGTATTCATTATTCATCCTAGCAACCATGTCAGCTACAGATGAGCTATAGTAAGAACCACACATTCCAAGGAGGCAATCATTTCCAAAGTTAAGATCCAGAATCAGAAATGTTCCAAAATATGATTCTTGGAAATGCCAACATAGTAGAAAATTCCACACCGACCTTATGATGGGTTGTAGTTAAAACAGAGGCACTAAAATATTCCCAAAAATTATCTTTGACCTATGTATTTATGGTGTATGAAACACTAATGAATTTTGTGTTTAGACTCATAGAATATCTATCTATCTATCTATCTATCTATCTATCTATCTATCTATCTATCTATCTATCTATCTCCAAAACATTTCTGGCCCCAATCATTTCAGGTAAAGGCTATACAAATATACTAGCTCCTCACACTCCAGAAAAAGATATAGATAGAAATAAAATTGCATTTAAGCTTGGGAGAGTGGTGGAAAATATTTGAAGTCAGAATATCTTACATTTCCAAATACCACTTTGTTTAATCTAATTGCTTATGGCTTTTTTAGGGAGTAGGGAAAGCAAGAGTTCTTGTGGAACTCGGATGCTGGGAGCAGACACAGACCTGGCCCATTACCCTGGTTTGTATCTTTTACCTGGCCCTAACTGCATGTTTGGCTTGGCCTGGTCTGGCTCTCCCATGTGTTTAATCACAGCCCTAGGAGATGCTGCTGCCGCTGCAGAAGTTGAAATCAGTATGAAAACTGAGCAGAAAGATGTCAGAAAACTAGTGGAAATTGCTTTTAATTTCAAGACAGCTTAAGATTCATAAGAAAATGAGGTTTTCATTCCATAGGGTGTTTTAGAATGGGGACTTCTCATTTTGACATTCTTTCTCTTTTTTTTCTTTTCTTTCTTTCTTTCTTTCTTTCTTTCTTTCTTTCTTTCTTTCTTTCTTTCTTTCTTTCTTTCTTTTTTTTTTTTTTTTGTAGTACCAGGGATTGAACTCAGGACCCTGTGCTTGCCAGGAGGAAAGTGCTTGTTCTACTGAGCTATCTCTCCAGCCCCCTTGACATACTTTAAAAATGGGAAAAGACTTACAGTATTTTCACCTGGGTATTTAGCTCCTCTTTATAGGTAGATAATTTTTCTGCTGAAAAATATTGCCTGGAATAATTTTATTTTAGGGGTTCTACAAACATCTGTGCTAACTTTGCAGTCAAATGCTCTACCCCTAAGCTAGCCCCCCTTGCCTTCTGTTAACTTTAGATATTCCACATTAGTTCAATTTAAGAACATGAAGAGAAGCTTCTGGAATTTTGCCCCTTTAGTATTTGAAAGCATTGAAAGTTTACACTCAGAGAATTTACTCTAAAAATTGCTTTTAAGTGCATGTTCTTGAATGTTTTGTAAGGCTCTGGAGAACTCTGGAAATTTAATCTGGTTGGTCAGAGGTGTTTGGGTTGTCACATACACCCCAAAGATACTTTCTGAGGGCCTACTTGGTGCTGCACAATGGCAGCCTCTAGGTTGTGTCTGTCCTCTGCTCGGGAGTCTACTAAGGAATGGATTTTAGGGCTTGGATTATAAGACATAGCTGAGGAAACCAAAGGCCTGTGCGCTATCCTTCACTAATCCACAGAAATATAATGACAGGAATTCCAGGACATTCTAGCTTTACACAGTTTATAGGTTTGACCTATCTCCAGCCTATCTGAGCTATTTCCTGTTTGAGTCAAACCTGAAGCTCATTAGTCTAGACACACCAAATTATTCCACTCCTTATTTGAAGCAGTGTTACTTCAAAGGTCTTTCTGGAAATCAGTAGGTATTTGTAGCCCCCAAGCAGCATTTGCTTTGACTCTGGGAGCCTCAACTTCACTCCTGGAAGTAACAGGTTGCTTCTATTTTTGTTACTCTCTGGCCACCATCCTTGTCATTTGAGGGTGTCCCATTCCCATGATGCTCTGCATCCCAGCTTGGCCCAGCCAGTACCCTCTGTCCCACTGGCAAAGTGGACCATGGCCCCTAGTGGTCCAGTACTGTATCAGGACTGGAGAAAGAGGGCATGAGTGGTGCCTTCTAGGAAAGTCACTAAGGATGCTCAGGGCTTTTAAAGTTATTTCTTCATTTTTGCTTTGCTTTGCTCAGAAATACCAGAGCCACACACAAAATTAAAGAACTAGAGCACTCTCCTACTTCTTGTCTCCTTGCCCAGTCCTCAGTCAGAGCTCTGGATGGGTCCCAGCAAGGTCCTCGCTGTCTGGGCCACCCGATTTCTCTTTCTTGAAGATGGTGAAATGAGGACAAATAAACAATGATGCTAACTTTTCATCATCGTCTTATTTCTGAGTTGCTATCAGTCGATCAAACACCTACCGGGCACCTAGTTCTGGCTCAGGTAACACACTTTGTACTGAGGATACAAGGATTACACAGTGCCTGTCATCTCCTGGACAAGAAGACATTCAGAGGAAGGCACGAGGAGAAGGGTGTAGAAGAAAGTGGGGTCAACGTGCCCGAGGTGCAGGGGTGGGGCTCGGGCTGCTCTTCACAGAGAATTATTATTCATTCTACTGGCTGGGCAGCGAAGATACCAGGCATGAAACTGAGGTCCTTGTTTTCCCTACCTCAAAATCTACTCAACAATGGTTGCCATTTATTATCAAAGCGGGCTTCTGCGTGATAATGCCGCCAATACGATTATGCCCACATCTCGCTCCTGCTCGCCTTACGCTTCATATCTGAAGGTCATGACAATAAAAATTGGCCTGGGTGTTTTCCAAGGAATCTGGTTATCAGGCTCGACTCTAACTGTAAAACTGAAGATTAAAAACCAAGTCGATAGGTACTTTCTAGGGTGGGTACGGAGTTGGAAGGGTGCACCAGCAGAGGAGGAAATATGTTAGACATGTACCAGTTCTCTGGGAACTCAGAACACCGAGGTCCAAGGGTGAAGCCAGCCTGGGCTTCGCTTTGCTCGGAGGGGGACTTCTTCTTTAATTTTTAAAAATTTTTTGCGGAACCAGGGATTGAACTCAGGCTCTTGCGCTTGCCAGGGAAGCGCTTATTCCACTGAGCCATCTCCCCGGCCCCAAGGGGAACTTCTTTTACCTACCACATGGAATCCTCCTGGGGCCTTGATAGGCCTGAAGCCATCAACAGGTACACACTGATCAGCGTGGCCATTGCAGTAGCAGCTGCCCTTGACAATGAAGTCGTAGACTGCATAGTGTGTCAAATGTTGAGGCTTCGTGTTCAGGTCATTTCTGTGGCAGGGACAAGACTGTCGTTTTAGCAGCTGCACGCGGAGGTTGGTGATCTTCAGCTGCTCCTGCAATTTGGCACTGTAAGGGTTTTCTGCATCATATGGTGGTGACAAAGCTCGGAAAATAACCTGTAGATAGAAAGAAAATGCCATTTGTGCATCGGCCTGTGTGCAAACCCTGCGTTTGTTCACCCAGCGTAGTTCCAGAACGACTTATGCCTTCTGTTATCCATGAGTGGTAACACAAGGGAACCAGACCTCGATCACACCTGGGGAGGAGCTGCCCTGTTATCGTAAGGGACAGATGGGTGTCTGTTGGACACAGAAGTGTACATCGACCCAGCAGCAGAGACTTGGTTTTTGGGAGGAAGGCAGCCATGTGGAGGTCCTAGGGGAAGAAATGGAAAGGTTAGAGGTCCTGCAGCAGAGCCAGGCTCGACTTGTTTCAGGAAGCACAAAGAGGTCAGGGTCTCACTTGTTTCTGGAAACTCATGAACAGGAAAGAGTGGCTGGGAAGAGGGACCGGAAGCAGATGCCAGAAAGTGCAGGCAGTGGTAGGGCGACTCGACTGTAGGGGAGGCTACTGGAAGGTCCTAGGCAGAAAGGGGATCTGATTTGGGTTGTTACATCTCCAAAAAGTTTCTTGTTACACATGTGCAAGGAATGGGACTTCTACATTTTTTCAGTACCAAGGATCGAACTCAGGACCTTGTGCTTGCCAGGCAGGCACTTAGGCCACTGAACTATCTCTCCAGCCTCAGACCTCCACTTTTATACAAGGTGAAGAATAGTCCTGGGGATGTCATCATGGTACAGCATGTGCTTAGCATATATGAAGCCCTGGGCTTGACCTCCAGCACCTAAATAAATAAAGAAATGATAAAGAATAGAAACAGGAAGACCAGTTAAGAAGCAATTGTGAAATCAATATTCAGGAACTTATATTTCTGACTGAAGTTTGACCTTTTCAAAGGCTAATCAGTTATTCCTTGGGACTGCGATTATTACAGACATCTTTTGGTTCTTCTTTTCTGGAGCTGCCTTCCAAGCTGGTGGCAGTTTTGGAATATCCTTCCTGGTAGTGAATATATTTCCTTGTGATTAATGAAATTGGTCAAAACCACTGAAAACCAAGTGTAGGGAGAAAAACAGTGGCTCAAATTAGTTAACGGTGCTTGGTTAAATGCAAGGTGTGTTTTCATTGTGTAGGTTATGGATGGGTGCTAAAGGGAGGCAACACTGTAGCTCATGAAAAAGCAAGGAGCAATTGTGTAGGCTCATTGCATGCTACACAGGCATAAAACTGTCCTCAGTGAAGTATGACACTGGGGGAGGGGGAGTAACTGACTTTATGCCTGGTCTTCATGCAGTAGCCAGAATGCTTCTCTATAAACAGAGTCGGAATCACTCTATGCAGGCCCCTCACCCTGCTAAACACTTCTCCTTTCCTTCAGAATAAAATACAAAGTCTTTTTTTTTTTTTTTAATACAAAGTCTTTATGGCTGCCCTGTCTGCCTTTTGTTCTTAATATTTACTGTCATTTGACATCCGTTTACTGTCCTCCCAGAGTAGAAGGAAAATTTCTCAAGGGCAGTTACAGATGTGTCCCAGGAGAGTGTCTGGTACATAGTACGTCTTTAATAATTTTTGGTTAATTACAATTAATTGTTAAATTAATTGCTAAATTATAATTAATTATTAAATTGTTCTTGGCACTTATGTGGAAGGTGAGCATTCCAAATATGTTCTTTATACAGGGTCCTCAACAGATTCACAAACTGAATTTCATGGTATTGAACTAGAAGGTAAGACACAGGACCTTGATTATAACAGAAATAGGGGCTGGGGAGATAGCTCAGTGGCATAAGAGCCTGCCTGGCAAGCTCAAGGTCAGTAACACACACACACACACACACACACACACACACACACACACACGGAATAAATAACTGAATGCCTAACCAGTGCATGCATTTCTAGCTATATTTATTTGTTGGGTACCAGGAATCAAACTCAGGACCCCACACTTACCTAGTAGGCATTGTGCCACTGTGCTAAATCCCCGACTCCTTGTTTTCATTTTTATTTTTATTTATTTTTGATGTATTTGGTACAGGGTCTCACTATGAAGCTCAGACTCGTAGTGATCCTCCTGTTTTCAGCCTCCCCTGTGCTAGGATTACAGGTATGCACCACCACGCCTAGACTCAGTGTCTCAGCGTACCTGGGGGTGGGGCTGGTGCTGCATGTGGTTCCAGGAATTGAACCCTAGTCTCCATGCTTAGCTAAGCAGGTGCTTAGTCTGCCTTATATCTGTTTTTAAACTTTAAAAAACTTAGAAAAAATTACACCATAAGTAATATTCCGACCCATTTACCCATACATAAAGTAGTGGAAAGCAATGTGTTAGGGAATAAAATTCTACAACAAATAATGTCACATATTTGAGAGTCAATATAGATGCAATTTAGAGGTAGAAATCAGAAATGAGAACACCGTTTCATATTTTGAAATATTAAAAACTTAAACCACCTCGCCCCAATACCAAAGCCCAACCCCGTCCTCAAGAATACACTGACTTTTTGAAAATACGTCTTCCCAAACATTAGCATTAGATAGACATGAAGAACTCTCACGAGAAAAAAATGTAAGTCACGTGGCTCTCCCGATTTCTCAGCTGCAGTGATGCAAAGACGCGGAAGAGAATGGGGCAGCGGTCCCTAAATAAGGATCCCACTGAAGAAAGTCTACGCGCGCTTCTTCGCGCTGTCTGGCCACCCTTCCTGTTCGTGGACACTGGTGGCAGCTGTTTGTGTCTCTGTTCCTGTCACTTACTTTCCCCTGACATTTGCCATAGCTCCCGGGCCTCCCTGCCGGCTCCTCCCGCACCCCAGAGCCCGTCTGCACACCCCGAGTTCGGGGAAGCTCCGTCAAGGCTTGGGGAACTTCGCAGCTCTCCGGCTTCCTGGGCCCAGCCCGGGAGGCTGAATGGAGGCTCTGTGATCGGAGCGCATGACACCACAGTTGGCACGCAGCTATCAGCAGGGAAGGGACATCGTGACCCCTGAGGCTGTGGGCTGGAAAGAGACGGCAGAGTGCCACAGACACAAAAGGGGACGGGAATTGAAACCGTGAAATCTTTTTTCCAGAGAGGAGACGCCTTCATCTGATACCCTGGGAAGTGGATCCAGCCTGCATCAGGAAACAAAGAACACGCCAATCCAGTTGTGTGCAACTTCTGGCGGGCCGCCCTTTGGGTCCCACCCAGATTTTCTTCAGTCGTCCGCAGAAGTCTGTACAGTGCTAACGAAAGGAAGTAAAACGGCGTCGAAAGTCTCCGTACTACACCAGCCCTTTCTAGGTTTTGTCCCCTCAAGAAACAGGATGCATCTATGGGGCCATCATTTCTCAGTCCTGTGCTGGAGAGTGTATTTTTATTTATTTATTTATTTATTTATTTATTTATTTATTTTAGGGGAGGGCCTACAGATAGGGTGTTCAGGGTCTCACTACTAGGTCAGACTCATAGCGATTCACCTGTTTACAGCCTCCCAAGATCTGGGATTACATGTGTGTGCCACCATGCCTGGTCTCAATTGCCATCTCAGCATGCCCCGGGGGTGGAGCCGGCATGACAGGCCCAGGGATCGAACCCCGGGCCCCTGTGCCTGCTTGCAGGCACTTTAATCCACTGAGCTATTTGGTCAGCCCTTAGAGGATATATTTTTAAAAGCCAGAGATCAAGCTTTTTGACTAGGATCAAGCACATTTTGATATTTGGATATTTCTTTGTCTGTTGGTGTGACTGGCTAGTACTTAATTACTTTCAATGATATAATTATACTATATTCTAGGGTCCATAGTCTGCCCATTTTTCTGCCCATGGAAAAATCTTTTATCTAAACAGAGAAACAAAGAAGAAAGCAAGCCATAGGAGACAGTAAGTACCTACAGTGTGAATCACCCCAAGGATAGCTGGGATACAATATTAACAGCTTTGTGTACCGTGTGTGTATTCTTCCAAGTCTATAAATATGAGGGGTTCTCAAGGTGTGGCCCTCAGACCAATGGCATCCCTAGGGAACGTGTTAGAAATGCAACTCAGAGGTCCTATCTCAGAACTAAAGCGGAAGTTCTTCAGGCCTGACCACCAAATCTGGTTCCACCAGCCCTCCAGCTGATTCTGATGTACAGTAAAATCTGAGAAAGATTGCTACATAATTTAAAAAGCTACTTAGAGCTCCACTGCATGGATATGAAATAATTTACTTAGCCAGGTTGTCATTTTTTCTTTCTTTTTTATGTATTTGGTTGTTGCAGGGTCTCACCACACAGCTTGGATTCCCGGTGAGCCTCCTGCTTTCAGCCTCCCCAGTGCTGGAATTACAGGCGTGTGCTACTACGCCTGGACTCTGGCCGGTTCAGCTCTTCCTGGGGGGTGTGGCTGGCACAGCTTGTAGTGCTGGGAATCAAACTGCGGTCCCTGCACCTACCTAAGCTTACCTAAGCAGGTGCTTTAGTCTGTTGAGCTATCTCGCCAGCCCCAAGCCAAAGTGCCAAGTTGCTGAGCTGTCTCCTCAACCCCAAGCCATTTATTTTAGCTTAAGCAACTAGGACATTTTCAGCTTTTCAATATAATCAACCACAAGGTTGTAGCCAAAATGTGGCTTATTGTATACCACCACTTCCTAAAGACTTATTACTAAATGCAAAACTAGTGGCTCAAAGAAAATCCATCACTTTAAAATATCGGACCCTCTGGCTGAGGCATGAACCCTCTCTGCCTGGCCTGTGGCGCCCTCCCCTTTCTGACTTCTCTGAGCCACAGACCCCTGAAACTTTGCCCGAGGATCTGGATTCTCTCTCAGCCCCTGTCATCTCTTGTGCCCAGTGGAAGGAAGCAGGGCTTCCAAGTGCCGCACCCTAGAAGGCCACCTGTCGCCTCTTCCTTCCTAGACCTTTCCCACAAAAGCCTCAACCACACTGAGAATGATTAAAAACAGCATTCTCTGCATTATTTATGTTCTGAGATGGAAATTTAGCAAGTGTTACCATGTGAATGGAATAAGGAGTACATACGAGGTACAATCATCAAAGACTTCTTTAAGAAACATATTCCGCCTTTGCA